GGAAGCGCATGGAGTCGGAAGGAGCATCGGCACAGAGCCCGGCGACGCAGACAGTGGGCATGGAGGATGCCTCGAAGGCGGTGCCATCGTCGGTGTCGTAGTGTCAGCGATGACGGTGACCATGTGTGCGGGATCCGCGTGAGGTATGTCTTTCCCGTTCTGGTCTGGCGTTCATGGCGGTCTCATCAGGTCTCATCATCCTTCTCACCATCGGTGCCTAGATTCCTTCAGGAGCCGTAGGTAGGTATGTGAGCCCAAAAATAGCACACACCTAGTCTGCATCATTGACGAAGGCTGCGGCTATTAGGGCGAGGAACAGAGAGATAGCCCTGGTTGAGCAATATTGTTCCTTGCTGTCCTGTCCAAATATTGGTTCAGCCAATAAACAGCCGCAAGTTTTCAATGCTCCAAGTTTCCAATGCTCCCGCCGGCGACTTCATGTCGTCACGCGACTCCTGCCGCTTGTACAGTGTGGTACCTGATTTCTCGAGCGACAACTCAGCATGACGAATGACCACCATCATTCAGAGTGATCTTGCACCATCACCTATGTCGCAACTCGGAGCTTCCAGAGATAAGAACCCGTACATCGCCAGGGGCAGGTCTGGCACCAAAGAGGGCCGAAACGGCGTCGGCGAGTTTGACGCGGAGCCGGGAGCGGGTGCACTTGAAAGCGTGCAATGGCGTTGGCGGGATGGTCTTGCCGGCCCGGGATCCAGATGTGTTCAGCCCGATCGGCTGGTGCATACGCCAGATGTGCTGGGCGATCACTATGTACGTTCGTGCTGATGGCCGGATTTCCCCTGAGCACACTGGCCGGGCAAGTGAAAGTATTGCTGTCGAAATTGTGCGCACATTATTCGTTCAAGCGGAACTGATTAATTGCGCAGAAAATGTGGGGAGGGGCCGCCGTATCGCGGGCTCAATTGCTGATGCGGAGCTCGTGTAGGCGGTCGCTGACCTGGTCGCGTGCGCCCAATGCGAAAGCAGGTCATTGAGCGGACGCTTCCACCCGGCGCAAGCTTATCGCCAGTGCCAAGAATTGGTGGCAGCCCCGGTTCATCCCACTGGAGATCAGTTCAATCCATCGCACCCCATCGAAGCATGAGGGCAGTGACATATCGGCGACGCGCCCACATGCTATCCCCAACTATCCATTCTGGAGATGTTCCTAGGCCACGCGAGGCGCAAATGAACTAGTGCTCCGTGACGCCATTCAAGCTACGCCCGGCTGTGCGTGCATATAATATGCCTCTGCTGCAAGGAGTCCCCCCGAGACCGCCTTTTCGCGTCCCAAGCCTTGAGCCATCGCTCCGCACTGACCCAACCCTCAGCTGCGTCTAGCTTGCTCACTATGGCTCGTCAAGATCTCGAGCTCGCGTCGCCCATCGAGGCGCGCGACGCGGCCGACATCGTCGACCAACTCCCGCACTACAGTCACTCCCAGGACGCCCTCGACGAGAAGCTTGCCCACAAGGAGTCCTCGGCTGCTACCCAGTCCGTCGAGGTCGACGAGCTTGACGACGCCATCTACGACAAGAGCGGCGGGGAGAAGGTCCTCGAGACCGCGGCGGATTTCTCTCGGGCACTCGTCAGTAGCGAGGACGACCCCAAGCTCCCTATCCACACGTTCCGGATGTGGTTCACTGGAATTGGCCTCGCTGTCTTTGGCGCTGTTCTTGGCATGCTTTTCGTGAGTACAGAGCACCTGCAGTCGTCCGCCGAGCGCTGATGTGTCTCTGTAGCAATTCCGCCCGCAGGTTATCGACGTATCGGCGTTGTTCTTACAGCTGCTCGCCTACATGCTGGGACGCCTCATCGAGGCCGTCATACCCGGCCCTGGCTCTCGCTTCCACAAGGGCAACTGGTTTTGGAATTTCCTCAACCCTGGCCCTTTTAGTGCGTTTGAGAGCTTGCTTCTATCAATGCCCCCTGTTCTGATAGAACATCTATCACTACAGACCTGAAGGAGCACGTCTCGGCGCAAATCATGGCGAATACTGCCGCCACTGCCGCTCAAGCTTGTTTCGTGTTTGCGTCTGACGACCTCTTCTACGGTATCCACGTGAACGTACGTGCCTCGTACTACTTCAGGCTGCATAACGTTAAAATATGGATATAGCCCGGGAACGCTATCTTCACCCTCTTAGCTTCCCAGCTCATTGGCTATGGGTTCGCCGGCTTGTTCCGTGAGTGATAGGGATAACCCGTGCACAATGAATTCAACATGCTGACACTAATCCACCAGGCGCCTTCCTGGTGTACCCTACGGTCATGCTCTACCCACAGTCTCTCATTTACGTCAACTTGTTCGACGTGCTCCATCGTTCTAAGGGCGAGATGCTCCAGGGCAAGCGTCTCAAGTTCTTCTGGATTGTGACCGGCGCCGTCTTCGTCTACGAGTGGTTCCCCGAGTGGATCGCTCCCCTCCTTGGCTCCTTCAACATTGTCTGCCTATGCGCGCGTCACTCAGACTGGGTCTCATATATCTTTGGCGGTGCCGAAGGTAATGAGGGCATGGGCCTCATGGGCTTCGGCGTTGACTGGGCGAACATTGGCTCAAGTCCCTTCTACGCCCCGCTCTCGACGCAGATCTCCAATTACGTCGGCTGGTCGGTCAACTACTTCCTCCTCCCTGCCATCTTCGCCAGCAACGTTTGGCACTCGAAGAACTTCCCGTTCATCTCTCAGAACCTGTTCTACGAGAACGGCTCCATCTACGACCAGACGCTCATTCTCAACCCCGATTACTCGCTCAACAAGACCGCCTACGAGATCTACGGCCAGCCCTGGCAGAGCGGCTCTACCGTTATCTACAATCTCGGTATCAACATGTCCATTGGCGCGACATTCGTCCACATCGCGCTCTGGCACGGCACGGATATCTGGGGGGCGTTCATGGACTACGTCCACCGGCGCCCGGTCGACGACTACCACTTCAAGCGCATGCAGATCTACCGCGAGGTGCCGATGTGGTGGTACGGCGCCGTCAGCATTGCCGCGTTCGTCACCGCGATGGTGTGCGCGTACACGGAGAAGTCTGGCCTGCCGTGGTGGGCCCTCATTGTCGCGATGCTCATCGCCATCTTCTGCCTTCCGTTCTACGGCGCGATGTGGGCCGTCGCCGCATTCAAGCCTGTCATCTCGAACATGTTCCAGATGCTGGGCTCCGCGCTTATCCCCGGGTCGTCTCAGGCGAACATGTACTTCGAACTGTACTCAAGTCAGTCGCTCAAGCAGGCTGCCTCGATGCTGGGCGACCTAAAGCTCGGCCAGTACACCAAGTGTACGTCTCAATTGAATTCCGTTTTGCTAGTTTCTGACCGCGATCTAGTGCCTCCCCGGACTACGTTCTCAGTACAGATGGCGGGCACCGTCGTTGGCGCTCTTCTCAACTGTGCGTGCATTCGTCACCCGTGGGACGTATTTGTGCTAACGCTAGATGTATCAGACGTCATCATGCAGACAGTCGTTTCCAACGAGCGTGAGATCCTGGTACGTCCGCCCCACTCCTACACGAGCGTTCACCGACTGTCTGTTGTAGCTAAGCAACGAGGGTACTCGTGTATGGAGCGGACAACAGGTGCAGTCGTACAACGCGAACGCTATCCTCTGGGGTGCTCTCGGCAAAGAGATTTGTGAGTATCATATCCCATGCCATGTCCGAACATTCTGACCGCTCGACGGCAGACGGTCCGAAGGGACCATACTTTATCGTCCCGCTTGGCATTGTCATCGGGCTCGGGCTTCCCATCATCCCATGGCTTCTCTACAGGAAGTACCGGTGGCACTGGCTCACTCTCGTTAACACCGCCGTCCTTGCATGTGCGTATAATTTAGATTGCCCTCCGCTGCGCTGTTGCTCACGACAGGGCCTGCAGACAACATCGGCGATCTCGCTGGTGGCACGAACGGCTACATCAACACCTGGATGGCCATTGGCCTCACGTCGCACTTCTACATCCGGAAGTACCGTGCAGGCTGGTTCCGGAAGTACAACGTATGCACCGCGCTGAAATTCTCGAAGCGTTATATACTGACTTCCCCCGCCTCTATAGTACTTGTTTGGTGCTGCCGTCGACGGTGGTGCCCAGATCTTCGTGTTCATCTTCTCGTTCGCGCTTGCAGGCGCAGGCGGCGTCACCGTCAACTTCCCCAATTGGGCACTCAACCCCAAGGGCAACGCGGTGCGTTCGCATGCCGTGTATCAGTGTTGTACGGGAACTGACGGAATCTTTCACAGGATTACTGTAAGGTGACAGGCTCGGAATAGACGTACTGTGTTACCAGGTGTCGATCTGTACACGTATCATCCTTGGTTGTTGTAAACTATTATGTCGGTAATGACGGATCGATGGGCCTCATGACGTATATGTATTACTACTCTATCTACTGAAAAGCGCTCTTGTAAGGCGGAAGCTCCTGTTGGTCAGGAGGACAAATTAGCTTTGACCTGTCCGACCTGTGGAACGTACATAGCAGATGTCGACGTCGACGTCACTGTTTCGAGATTGAGATTGTAAGGCTCTCATCAAAAGGGGGCGCATTCGCAGGCTACCTAGTACCGATGTTAAGCTCTGCGCATGGGACTACGCGCATCCCGAGAAGACCAATGTATTCAGTCACGGCCCAGGGTCTAGTCAATGTGAGTACCTCAACAATGCATCATGCCGTTGCAGACGCCTTTCGGCCTTTCAGGGAAGACGATGAGATCGTGACGGTGAGATGATGTAATGAGGGCAACAAGTGGAAGATATGCCTCCGCTGCTTGGCTACAACACATTGACGTAAGATCTGGAAAGTGCGTACTAGACAATCATGGCCGGTGATTTAGGGGGACCGGTTGCCAATGTTCGCTGCCAATACAAAGCAGTTTCACTTGGAAACAGTGTTTATGCGACACTCACTTTGATATCACGTCTGTGGGCACCTACCTACGTTTTCCAAAAATAAATCCAACAAACTGGGTTCCTCGTCATTTGTAGAGAGAAAGAAAAGAATGATGAGAGTGGGATTCGAACCCACGCCCTTTCGGACCAGATTTCTACGCTTCGGAATAACCCGAGCGTCTATGTCCTTAGTCTGGCGCCTTAGACCGCTCGGCCATCTCACCTTGCAAAGCATGTTCTCAAAAATAATCTTAGTTGTTCTGGGCACAAACATTACAGCTCCTATTGTACGCTGTGGCCCTTTGTTCTTGACTGGACGCCGACGCTTGGACGCCGAGGAAGGAGGGAGAACAACGCAAAGCGGCGAGTTGACCAAGCAGACCCTTCCACACGGGCAGTTCCTTGGCTCCACGGGGCCACAATGGTTACCAGGCGACCGGCAACAGACTCATCGCGCTTGTCTGCATTGTTGCCATTGTCTTCATGTGGCGACTCGGGCTGCGGTCCCGCCCACATGGGCGAAGGATCATCGGGTATCTGCTTTATGCAAATGCGCCATCCTCTATATAAAGGTCCGTGCCCTCGCCACCTCATCCTCCTCATCCTCCCTCTCGGTTCTCTCTCGACGTCGCGTTGCACGCTCCCGAGCTGCGCTCGCCACTGTTTCTCCAGGCTTCACTCTTTCCAGCCCACCTTAGCGTCCGAGTCCGGCACTGACTTTCCCCTGCTGCTAGTCAAGCATCACACATTCTTTCCGTCCTTCAGTGACACATAACGTCTTCTATCATGGCCCGCATCTTCAACCCTGTTCTTATCGCCCTTGTGGCCATCGCCATCAACGTGCACGGCTTCCCGCTCGAGAAGCGCATTGCTCAGACCATCTCCGATTCCACCACGAAGTGGGAGGCTGCCTGTGTGCGTATCGCTCAACTCTGCGGTCTCCAACTACATCTGACTAGCCACACAGGATGCGGCCGGCGGTGGTTCTCAGTGCAACACGATCGCTGTCAACGCCTTTGGCAACCTTCTTGCCGCCGCTGACCCATGTGGACAGCAGAACGCTGCGGATCAGATGATTGACCTTGCGAAACAACTGAACAGCAACGCTGCCATGATCTCGGCCGCACAGATCTTCGCGCAGCAGCCCCGCAACACGGTGAGTCTCCACCTCTCGCCCCTCCTTCGCACGGATACTCATCACGCCTGGCCCCTACAGCCGACCTCGCAGGCAGTGCCCTACTGCCAGAGCGCACCCAAGAACGCCGAGCTCGATGGGCTCTTCCAGTGCCAGTTCGCGGGTGCAAACGAGAACACCTTCGTCGGTGGCCTGGCAGTCGGCTCAGCGGGTACCATTCCCTTCGGCCTGACCAGCGCAGTCTCTCCCGCCGGGTCCTGCCCTGCGCACCCTGATGGTCCCGTCCCTGATGGCGAGCAGCTTTCCGACCTCGTCAGCAGCCCCGGCACCCCTTCGTCCGGCAGCGGCAGCTCTGGCTCCGCCTCCGCCTCCGCCTCGGACGTCGCCTCGACCACCGCCGCTGCCACCTCTGCGGCGGCCACTAGCGCTGCAGCCCCGACTCAGTCTTCAGGTGCAACGGATTCCGGCTCGTGCGTCATTGCCACTGAGACAGCCTCGGACGCGAGCGCGACCGCTACGGCAACCGCCGTGTCGAGCACCGCTTCAGCGACCGCCACCGGTACCAACTCTAGCTCAAGCTCCAGCTTCCTTCAGTCGAACGGAGAGCAGGCGCAGCAACAGAACGCACAGTTCGCCACGCTCTCTGCGAGCTCCTCTTGCACCGGTGCGCCCACTACCTTCCTTTGATCCTCATCATCGCTGACCAGATCGCAGAGGGTTCTGTCGCGTGCGTCGGGGGCGAGTTCGCGCAGTGCGTCAACGGCGCGTTCACGCTCCAGAGCTGCGCATCCACCCTGAGCTGCTTCGCCCTCCCCCTCGTCAACAAGGCCGGGACGTCGGTCACCTGCACTACTGAGGCTGACGCTGCGGCGCGCATCGCCGCCACCGGCGTCTCCGGCGGTGTGACCGGCAGCGGCTCCACCGGGTCATCGTCCTCTGCGTCAGACGTCTCTACCTCCGACGCCGCCACCCCCACGGCGAACACCGCGGTTGCTATCGCTCCCGCTGCCTCGTCCTCAGCGTCGAGCAGCTCTAGCAGCAGCCTCCGGCTCTCCAATGGGCAGAAGGCCCAGCAGCAGAACGCCCAGTTCGCCGCCCTCACCGCCGAGGACTCCTGCACTGGTACGTCTCCCCGCCTTACTGACCCCCATCTCAAAGCTTGCTAATGCTTCACTGTCTGTTGCAGAGGGCTCCGAAGCCTGCGTAGGCGCGGACTTTGCGCAGTGCGTCGCCGGCAAGTGGGTGACGCAGAGCTGCGGCTCGACGCTGCAGTGCTTCGCGCTCCCGCTCGTGAACTCGGCGGGCACGTCGATCACGTGCACGACGCAGTCTGACGCCGCGGCGCGCATCGCGAACACGGGCGCGACGGGCGGCGTCACCGGCAGCGGCAACTGAGCTGCAAGCCTACCGAGCATTCCCCGCCGTGAGCGCGATGGGAATTTACTGGGTGTGAATATTACGATGATCTTTCCGCTGGATGTGTTGGATCTCATACAATGTATCGATAGCGCTCTCTCCTTCACGTTATGGTTTATCCCCCCTTTCCTCTTCATTGAACATGGGCACGACACGAGTAGCCGGTCAATTTGGAGTTAACATTAGCTTAGCAGTTTATGGCAATGGAGTGTTGCGAGACACGCTTCGTCCACTACTACCCCTTCGGTGTGCGCTCGTGTGGCCGTGTGAGAGAGTATGGTTCTCAGACTCGGAGGGTCCAAATGTACGGCTGACGCCGACGCTGGTGTGTCCTGTTCCTGCCCTGTGCTTCGCTGACCGCTAATCCATGTGCTTGGTGTTCACTTCGGCATCGCAGATGGATGCCGGCGGGGCGACGACTGTGCTATGGTCGCCGGACTCTGCACTCAGTGCAAGCTTCAGATCACAGCCTCACTCTCATTTCTGCTGCATTTGCACAGAAATTCGCTGCTGTGACTACTTTATTTCCTCCTGATATCTATGCATTGATTTCTGCAGGAGCAGGACGACGTCAACAAGTCGGGCATTACAATCAATTACAAGTCGATGGAAATAGGCGTTCATATCGGCGATCACAGTACCCGCCGAACGCATGGATGCTTGACGTTTCGTAGGGATTGCGGTTCTATGTGCGTGCACGAAGGCTTCTATCGATTGACAGTGACAGTGGACCGTCGCCAGGACACATGCGCGGATCGCGGCCACACAACTGTCAGCCTCGCGGGAAGCGCTTGTCTGACGTCCAACGTTAGAACGTCCACCGCTGGGCGGTTGCAATTCTGATCATCCCTTCGCTAGAGATGCTGGAGCTCGATTTTCGCGTAAGTAGGTACCCCCTTTGTGATCTGTTGGTCAACTCAAGGACGCTGGTAGCCCAATTCACTGAAACTCCGACATCTAGGGCCCGGGGAACCAGGGTGAAGGTCAGTATAGACCATGTTGGCTGGCCCATAAGAGAATTTCTGGGGAGAGTGCACTGACATTACATATTACCAGGAAATGCCGGCTGAATTCAGCTCAAGCTCTCTCTGCCCTTCAGGGAAGAGAGCGTACGATAGCGCATCGAGTGCCATAGGCTGTATCGAAACAACATATCGACGGCGCATTTGGCTACATGGGCGTCTTTCCATGGCCGACTGCGTAGCAGTTTGTCCTGGAGACGTCTTGGGCGACCCTTCCGATTCGCTCGGCTTTTGGTTGTAGCCCTCTCATAGCCAATATCAGCGCTCGAAACACGCACCAGCGTCCTGGAAAGTGCTTTCTTGCGCAGTGAACACCACTTTGACAGGAAGGTCACGTAAAAGCTGGAAGGGGTGGCTTTCGGGCATACAGGGACCCAACGATGCGCCTGGAATGTGACAGGTATGTTTCAATAGTGTGCGCTTCCTACTTTTATTTGTCTGCACGACGATATGTCGGTGAGTAATCATGCACCGACATACATGGTTACCTCACAAGCTCCTGGCAGCCCGGGCACCCTGCCAGCCTCAGTCTTCGCATTTCATAGTCCCGGCCTTTCAACAATCTTGTTTCCGCGGGGCATGCTCGCTTCCGACGACGCCCAGATGTGCATGAGTGTCGAAGGAGGAGGAAGATGAGGCACCCCGCCGGTTGAAACCTAGTTACCTCGCCGGTATAAAATTCAGGAGAGGACGGACGGTCGTCAGCATTCTCCACAGACTAGCTACCTCACCAGCACTGACATCGAAGATATGGCGTCAAAACAGGGAGGCGAGCATGATCGTGTGTTCCTCGTCGTCCATGCGTGATATGTATTTACAAGAGCCTTTTCCCCAGACTGGCGCATGAAGCTGAACAATACAATACAAGCAAACCGGGCATTGGGTGCAGTGAACTGGGAGGTGACCCCTGCCCCGGGCACTCAGCATCAGGGTCCCTGGACGGCCGTCGTTACCAGTCAGTCCTTTCTCCGTATGTCTATAACGACTCAGGACTGACTAGCTGGACGCCAACAGTTGGCGGCATCGAGTATGGTCGGGGCCGTGGCAGCAGTCAAGGCGCTGCGAAGGAAGCTGCCGCTCGCCAAGCCCACGAAGAAGTTGTTAAGAGGCTCCGTGGAAATTGAGGTGAGGGCATGAACATTCGTGCGTGCAATGTCGGCTTGATGTAGATCACCTTGCGGATTCTCTGCAGTGTCTCTCTACGCTGGCACTAGGTGTCGTCCAGGCCGCCTCGTGAGCCTGAATACAGAGCAGACGGTCTAGCAATACATCATGTGGTTTTGCTTGGCGTGGTGTGTAGTGAACCCGCAGCAAAATGGGCATTGTCAGCCGGCATCCGAGTTGAGTGGACAAGGCGGGGTGCTGTGAGTAAGCTTCGTAGTCCGAGTTTAACTGCATACGCAAGTCCCCCTAGCCTAGTGAGTTTCGAAGTCTCTCCACGAGGCTTACGTATTCGTGAGGCAACATTGACTAATGACCAGCGGCCCTGGCAGGCTGCCAACGGCTGCTGCGTTTGAGAGGCATGATAACAGATGCGTAGAGCCCGGCACGTCGGAGCGGACTCTGAGTATGGCCGTCGTGACCGGCTGCCAAAGCAAACCCTACGTGAATGGCGCGAGGAAGGTATAGCACCAATTACTCAATAGGTCTTCTCTGCGGTCTGCCTGGGGGATTAGACGGCTTCACAGAACCTTGCAAGAATGCACGGATGACCTGGGAAGCAATTGCCTAGAGTAAGTGCTTCCTCTTGCTGAGCTATCCCAACGGGAGGACTCACTGATAAAAAGCGCTAGGTGGCAAGATTGAGTATGAAAAGTCAAGAAAAAATCCCCAAGGAAGTAAAAGTGGGTGCGAGGTCTGTCCTTGTGAGGTAGACGCTGATGCATCTCGGAAATGCTGTAGATATCGGTGGCTGAACGGGTCGGATGTAATGGCATGAAAGCAGTGCTCGTGGATACACGCAAGCCAGCCAAGGGGCGTCGCGTTTGTGGTACCTATACGAGCCCGTCACGTACTCGCCGAAACAGAGGCACTCGGGATGATGATGACACCGACAGTCTGAACGTATCGGTGATGGATTAGATTGGCAATGTCCGACCATGGAGGGATACTTGGTATACAACTTGACTGAGGATCTAGTATGACGCAAGATAAGGTATAGATGACTGCCGATCATTAGGGCTGTGGGAATAGCATAGAGAGCAATGTGCAGATATAACTTATAGATGATGTGTACGTCCAAGCAGAGCGTTAAAAGTTGTACGCCGACGGCGTCGCGTGTGCGGGAGCTCCTGCCATCTCAGGCAGACCGGCTGTCGTCATCGGCGCAGACACGGGTAAGCCACTGGCATCTGCCACGCCGGGCACAGCGTTGGCAGTGAGATATACACCGTTCATTTGGCCCTGATACGTCGGCCCCGGGGGATTGTACATGACGTTCCGGTACGAGTGCGTAGACTGCGAATGCGAGGACCAAAACGCGTCGTACGTCAGCGTCGGGTTGGGAGGAGCCGACTGCTGTGCTGACATGGCAGCGTTGAACGAGTCTGAATGTCGGTGTTGTGCTTGGGGCGACTGTTGTGGCTGTGCCGACGGTTGCGAGTGTATCTGCACTGGAGCCTGCAATCCAGGCGCGTCTTGGTGTGGCGGTGACGTAAAAAAGGGAGTGGCTTGCGGCGGCGTGTGGTAGTGAAACTCGTACTGGTAGGGATGTGCGGGATAGAAATGGACCTGCGCGGGTGGGTAGACGGAGTCACCTCCGCAGTACGGCACGCCTGTGGGTTGGAAGTGCATGGGCACATTTCCATTCGGCATGGGGGGATATTTTGGGTCGGGTGCCAGCCCGTTTGCACTGAGGGGTTCGGGCGCGGAAGCACCAGGCTGTGGGCTAAACATCGAGGCTGCGGCTTGTTCAAGCGTTCCCGAATCTGGGCCGTTTTGTAAGCTCTGAGGTTGCGGTGGCTCAACGGTCGGGGTCGCATGTGCCTCGACCGATGGAATAGGCCATGCAGACATCGGCACAGCGGGCAACGGCGACAAAGGGACTACGACTGGTTGTCTGAAACCCAATTTCCATGCACAGTAGAGGGAAGACGCACCACTGCTCGCTGCAACACTCCCATTCTCAACTGTCAAACCAAGGACAACCTCTCTGCCTGAACTCCCGGTGATCTGCTCTCGCGAGTTGGCGTCTCGTTCATGATGATAGTCGTTCACTGGAAAGAGCATGTTTGGCGTATAACGCGCCGAGCTTGTCCCCGCCGTCCGATGCCCATTCTGCTTGGGGGTCGCAATAGGTCGGCTCTTGTGCGTGTGTCTGAAATACAGATTCTCGACTTCATTGAGTGTTTGCCGTTGCTACAAAAGCTCACGTCAATTTTACTAACACCCCCACTGCTGTGGGACGCTTACCCATCCGTGCTCTACCTTCAGCTTGGCGTATTGCAGTCGCAGCCTGAGTTGACCACAGAGCTAATTTTGACGGCGAGATGCCATGAGCACGAAGATGTGAACAGAAGTGGAGCAACAGCACAGACGTAGTTGGCTTTCGCTCGTTCCGGAGTGACCTTGCGACGTTTATGGTCCACAACGAAGACGCTAGCCTGCGGCGAGAGCGGGACCTCCGCCATTGAAGAAGGCTTGCCAGGTGCAGGTCCTGGTCTGTTATGCTTACAGGCTCTCGGTGCAGGCGCAATCTATAAGGACACCGGTGGCCGACTCGTCATATGGATAAAATGAGACTCCCATGTATCGGCTCAATGGTCTAGTCGTATGATTCGCGCTTCGGGAGTTGACCCTTCCTTGCTTACGTAATTAAATGCGCGAGGTCCCGGGTTCAATTCCCGGTTGAGCCCTTTCCTTTTTGTGCGTTGCTCAGGCAAGATCAACATTGAACAAGTCTCTGATCTACTTACCGTGCTGAGCGTTTGAGCTCGTAATTTGAAGGGCCCGTTCGGTGCACAAGACAAACGCGTCTCTGGCTGATCATGTGACAAAAGGCGACGGAGAGTGACGCCGGAGTGAGCGGGCGCTCATGAAGCCTTGCGTCCAACAAAACCAGCTCTTTGAATTGCTCTTTCACCCGCTTCGTAATCTCATCACAAATACACTCGGGCAACCTCAAGGCTTACTGAATATGGAGGACATACAGCAGCGAAAGGATACGCCGGTGAACACCCAACCAGTCGCCGAACCCACCGCATCACTGCCGTGCGCCATGTAAGTTTCGTCTCCGTACAGTGATCATGGACTTCTGTTCTCAAGGCTGACAGTTGTCGACGCCAGTTCTCAAGGTACACCTGCCCACGGTGCAATATACCTTACTGCTCCTTGACATGCTTTCGCTCCGAGGTACGTAGCCTGAATACGATAGTTGCGGGTTCCGTCTCATGGGGTGTAGTCACACACAAATTGCTCCGAGATGTTCTACCGCAAAGAACTCGAGACCGACATACGCGGAGACAAGTCAAAGTCAGCGGAGCAAAGACAGAAGACTTTGGAGCTGCTCAGGCAGTTCGAAGAGGACTCCATGAATGATGATATCTTCGGCTTGGATGACGAAGATGAAGAAGAGGACGGTGACGACTTGGAGAGGAGGCTAGGAGGTCTCGACCTAGGTACGCGATTCTCACCTCCTTGACTTTATGCAAAGCCTTTATCTAGGTAATGCCTTCTGAAAGGCGCGGCATCGTACGACGAACTGTGGGCCGCCCTCACTCCAGCCGAACGTGAAAAGTTCACCAAGGCGCTGCGCGACCCTGATAGCGAGCTCGCACAGCAGCTTCTTAACAGCGAGGAGATCGAGAAGGTGCGCCTCGCACCGTGGTGGGAAGCCCCAGAGGACGATGCGAGCGAGAAAGATCCCGGCACATCATCGCGGGTGCAGAAGGGATATGGCAAGAAGCCTGTCATGATGCAGGTCCCCGCATACATGACGCGAACACCGCCTACCCCTGGCAAGCTCCCCCTGCTATTGTATAATGCTTGCGCGATCATGTACGTGTGCTCCGTGCCGTTTGGGTTACCTGACGTCTCATGTCTGTATACAGGGTTGCGTATGCATATGTTACACGTTACCTCGCGACCTCTCCTCTGACGGCCCTCGAGCCTTCGGAGCAAGACGAGGCCCGCCGACTCATCTCGCAGCTTGTACCCTTTCTCACTGATCGTCTTTCGAAGACGGTCCATTCGTCACTCTCAGCTGCGGTCACTGATCTCCTGTCCCGGTTCCAACCGGTGCGTGTGCTGGTCGATGCTTGCGTGCTGCTTAGCTGACCGAACACCACAACAGGACGCCATGCCTCTGCCGCTCTTCTGCATCCTTCTGAGGGACGCTGCGGTACTTCTGCGACCATCCACTGTGGTCGAGCTCACTTCAACGGCGCCTGCCGAAGCTTCGTCCGACTCTCCATTTACCCCCGTCGACGACTTGTCATCCCACCCAAGTGCTCTCGCGCTCCTCGTCTTATCCGACCTGTCGGCGCTCTTCAGCGCTGACCTTCGGTCTGCCTCACCTCTCGGCATCGATGCCAAGACAAAACCCAACCACGTCACGCACAAGCTAGCATTCTACGCCGCATATATCCTGGGCGTGCCCCCCGTTCTACTACGCGCGCTCACTGTGGAGATCAGTGAGCGCTCGGAAAGTATCGCGCGGGAAGGTGGGCGTGACGGCGGCGTACTAGCAGTAACACGACGGACGGGTGCTGAGCCGCTCGCGCCCAGCGAAGAAGGTCGTCCTGTGAAGATTGTCGAGCTCTGACGTTGTCCCAGTACGCGGTCGCCGGATTGCAATATATCGACTTCTTGCGGCAGTTTGAAGGGTCTATTAGGTTCAAGCAATGTCGTGACGGCCGCTCATGCTTCAGGTAGCAAGTTCAGGCATCAGACGGTTTATGGAGATGACTGATGGTATGGGTGATATGCTCCAGTCCCTGACTTCTCTTGGTGGGTCGCTTATTGTCTTGCGATCGCAATATGCAACCCGATATTCTGTCGTGTGGATGCGCAGCACAATCGTAGCTGTGGGTTTGTTGGGTGTACTGCCAGCACCTTCCCCCTGCGGAAAATGAAAGAATTAGGTTTGACCGGAGGACTACAGAATGAATGGTCATGCGGCCTCTGGGCCCTCGATGTCGTACCTACATATCAGGAAGCTCACTAAATGAGTATTCCATTCCATTTACTGACGGCGGGCGCGCAATAATAGACAACCTCACCACATACGGGAGGCACTGCTGCGGTGTGCGTGCGTACGTGCGTAATCTCACTTAAAGCTGGTCCCTAGCATGGCTCTCCCATACCTAACACCGGGTGGTTGCATCTCGTACCGACACATCACATATACGGTGAGTAGGCGTGTTGACAGCATCATATCCTCTCTGACCCTCACCCTACTATCAGTAAGAACTCGGACGCCATGTTCCCTCTGATCCTCGGCGCTATCGCCTTCGGTGCTGGCACCGCCATAATCTCCAACGCCAACGTCGACGTCGACGTCGACGGTGACCAGATGGTAATCCGGGCGATCGAGATGCTGGATCTCAAGAGAAAACTTGACCTGGCCGAAGACGCGTTGAATCTCACACTCAATGAGCTGCATGCAACGCTCGTGTGGGTACGCGTGCTGCTGCTGATCATAGGGGTATGGTTCGCGTTGAGTATCTTCGCGTGGGTGGTCTGGGTCGGGACAGGGGATAAGGGGAAGCCATGCAAGCCCGACGTGTTCTTGTTGGGCCCCGGTGTGGAGGCGAGGGCCTTGAGCGCAGGGGAGTCAGGCCGCACCGTTCACATGGTATGTGGTCTGGAAGCATAGCGTGCAGGTTGGTAAAGACTGAGTGCTCCGCAGATTTGCACGCAGCCGGGCTTTCAAGTTGAAGCAGAGAAGCCATAGCTCCATTCTGAGATGACATTCTTGATGATACAACACTGTAGCCTCGGGAGCACCCATCTGCACCTGACTCCACTGAATTTATCCATGATCTGTCAACCCACCTTGACTCGTATATATATTGTGCTCTGACACGCACGAGCAAAGAATGTTTCCTTTCTTTCGTGAAAGAAAACGCGGTGCCCACCGCGACATTCAAGTTGATACTGACGCGCTGGTGGCGCAGACTTGATCCGCTGTTGTCGATCTGGATGGTATACGGACGCTTGTCGGCTTTTATGATATGCAGTGGAGACTAGGCATACGGTACTTGAGGCCTAGGATGTAAGCAGATATCGATAAGAGCTTCATTTTGGGCAAAAGCCATTGCATCCTGAGGTCAAAACGAAGAGCACAACTCTGAACGCTTCCTACCGACCCCCACGTGACGTCGTCGACTGACTGCTAGTAGCCCCAGGCTCCAGCCTCCTGCCAGTTGCAGCCATGGAGTCTGTTCCGTCCATCTCGCTTTACGCTAAACTCCGGGAGCTTGCCCTCGCCCATGCTCAACCAGACTCAGTGGAGCAAATCCTCTCCATTCGACACCCGAGCGCCATTCACGCGTGGGGTCACAACAACCTCGTCCAGCGCAACCCCGGACTGCAGGACCGCATGGACAACGCGGCGTTTGCTCGGCACCTTGCATCTACCGGTCGTTACATCACCAACGCCCCTCCGGGGGAAACGGTGCACGACGTCATCGTCGACGAGTGGAAGCGGGTGGCGGTAGTGAGGATGAGCTACTATCTGCAGGCGAAGAAGGTAGAGGGGAAGGAAGCCGAGGACAGTGAGGTGGTGGAGAACGACCTGATCTGGACGCTCAAGTTCACGCAGGAGGCGGAGCAGGAGACCAGCGGGCTAGATGGCGTGCGGATCATCGAGAGCGTGGAGTACATCGACGCAAGTGCGAGCGCGAGACTGGGCACGCTAGTGCGGGCGCAGATTGGCGGCGAGATTGGGGACGATGTGAGAGGCGGAATTGTGCTGAAGGAGTAGTCGGTACGTGGAGGTTTTCTTTGTATGAATGAACTTGAAAGCCGCCGCCGTGACTGGACTGAGAAGTGCTGGTGCTACGACTCATCACTACTAGTAAACTCATTGCTGTGGGCTAATTCCATACTGTAGGATCAGGATCTCATCGGTCGCACCGTCTACCCACATGTGCGACTCGTAGAGGCCTACGCGCGGCCGCGGCGGTGTACACTCATGTCACCCTTCAACTTGAAGTTGTGACCATGCTGACATATAAGATCGCCCTCACTCTGTAGCTGTCTCACGAGAAATAAATTGCATATCGTTATTAGGTCGCTCTTAGGCCGACGCGCGAGCACTCTTCTCTGCTTTAGCGGTACGTGACGACCACTTCCACGAGCTGTACAGTGTACAGTAGGCGCGGCCGAGTCTGAATATTGCCGTCGAGGGGGTCTGTCTCGCGATCTACTTCACAATGTATGCCGTACTGATCATCGGTCATGGAACGAAAGAGAGCGCACAACGATGCCAGTTCAGGAGGGATCACGACGTGCGGCCGAGTCGCGAAAGCGGACGTATATGTCCGACCTGAACTCTGTCATCCCTTCAAACAGAGACAACGAGCGGGAGAACATGATGTGGAGCGAAGGATACTCGATCTCTACCGTGATGCAGTTGCAAATGTGCGGAAACAGTGCGCATGCGACTGACGGCCTCCGAAGCGCACGGCGGCCGTACGGTGTATAGGCTTTGTTGTACCCCCAGTAGTAGCCATATCATTCGACGTCTTCGCCGCTATGATCATCGGATGCTGTAGGATCCGTTGCTGCAGGAGTGTTGCGATACAGGGGCGTTGTCAGGTCGCGATGGTAGAGATCCGGCAAACGAGGCGACCGCCAGGATTTCAGGGATCTGTAGATCCACTGGCATGCTCTGCGTGGCCAAAAGGAAGGC